AATATAATAAATAGTCAACCGATAGCAATTAACACATTAAAATTACTACTGAAAAAGAATTTAAAATAATTGAAAAAAAAAACACAATTCAAATATTTAATATTTATTTTGAATGCACTTTAATTACTTACTGTATATACTTTTTTATTGATTAATAAAAGCTTAATAATCAGTATGTAAATACAATTTTAATACTTAATTCTTTCATATGATTTCCTTAATTAATTGAAATATTTAACAATTTCTTGTTATTTGAAATACATATGAATTAAAACATTGGCCAACAGTGCGTATGCGTAACAAAAATTAGTATGGCATTATCTTTCCATCATTTTCTTTACCATTTTCAATTATTTCTGTAATTTTATAAATAACTTTTTCAGTTGATATCAATAGAGAAATGAATCAATTTATCGCTGTAGTTTTCAATTTAAAATTGTCAGTCATCAGGAAAAGTGACGCATGTCAATTTTAAATTTTTTTTAAAAATATTTTACTATTTGCGCAGATAAAAGCAAAATTAAATTTCTCGCACAAATAAAAGAAACCAAATTAAATAAGACAAAAAATTGAACTCTGCTGATATGAGGTTCACAATATCTGAAAGGACCATGGCAAACGTGTATTAATGTGGCTGCGGTATCCTGGCAAAAAGCAAGCACATAGCAAACGTAATAAGCTCATTACAAGTGACATGACAACGAAAATTTTAATATTCTCACTGAAAAATTTATTAAATAATATCTGATGTGCTGCTCTATGACAAGGCAGCGCTGCCAAACTGTATATGTTCTGCAGTTTGTGACTAAAATATTTTAATTTTCTTCTATTTTATTTTGTTTTGTTTTACACAACCATTTTTTTTTGTCCTGCCATTTAATATTTAATTTTTTATGTATGTATATGGATATTGACAATTTCATGCAGCGGCAGATTTTCGAGTGTTTAACTTGTAAAATTTTTAATGGAAATTCTTTTCGACAGCGAATAGTGAAAAGCGTCAGACTGTGAACGTTAAAATACTACGAGAACGTTTGAACGATAAATGTTAAATAAATACATAAACTCTTATATATATAAGTGCAAGTGTAAATATGTAACATTACAGAAGATATATGTACGAATAATGTGAGAGCAAATAAATTTTGTGCACTGCCTGAAAATTATTTGGCGCGAACCTCAGTTCACTTCGTTTCGATGTACTGCAATGCCTTCCTTAGCCTTCCTTTGCCATCTGATGTTGTTTGAGTTCCTTTCCTGTTGTCAATGAACAAATTTTTACGTTGTTAGTTTAACAACGAATTACGCGCTGTAGTGTAAGTGCTTGGAAAGTTTGTGAATGGCAGAAAATAGTAGTAAAGTTAAGCATTAAAGAATTTGTAGATATCATATATAAAATAGTGAAATTTAATTCATAATAAAAACTATAAACTCATTAACTTACTAAATTTAAATAATTAAAAAAGTATATACATACGCAGCTCATGACACAATAATTTCTAGAAAACTGTTATGATTTTATTTAATATAAGTTTATATCTAATAATAGTAATTACAAATATATTATGTTACTCAGTAAACAGAGATTTGTGTAAAATTTGGTTAATGAACTGTGGGTGTTACTTTCGCATAGAACTTAAGAAAAATAATCTCATCTGCAGCGCTTTCTCTCTTGTTCAAATTTATTCTAGCGACAGAGCGATTAAACATTCTCATATTCAAGAGTGGTCATTCAAGTAAAATTTTTGAAAATAAGGGTGTTTTCGCACGCTGTAAACCAAAATTGTGGTTAGCACGCGAACAAGTTGGTTGCGTGTCATTCACAGGTGCAGACTATCATTTTTGAGTGTCGTTCTTAGATTTTATCTCTTGAATGACGACACTCAAAAATGATAGTCTGCACCGCGCTTAATACAATACATAGTATAATTTATTTATTTTAAATGACTTAAAATCACTGTAATGTATATATACTAGTATATATACATAAGTATACTGCATTAGTGCATTTTAATATATACACTAGTATAGTATAGTGTACTAGACGCATATCTAATATCAACAATATTATAAATCAGATTAACGAGAACTTAAGCAAAATAATCTTAAATCCATCACTATTGATGAACATTATTGTGTTACCATTATTGGCTTTAAGAAAACAATAATACTATATATAATACTCATATATATTATATATATATAATAAATATATACTTTTGAAGTTACTACCTATGACAGATAACATTGTATAATCTCATTCGACTAATTTATACTTGTGGTAACGGTTGATACATGTAGTACTATACCACCAAAATTTCTTGTATTTTCTTGTTAAAAGACGACCATTTTTAACAGAATTTGTACCTTTTTAAACAAATTTTTTTCTGTACCAAAATTGGTTTAAAAAGGTACCATTTCTGTAAAAAAAGGTCCAAAATTTTTCTATTGTCTTTTTATAAGAAAATATATTTATATAAAATGTACAAAAAGTATAAAACAATACAATATCCACAATAAAGTTGGGTCGCCGAAAATGTACCATTTTTTGAACATGAGTACCAGAGTACCAAACGGAAATAAAAGTATCAATTTTGGTACTAAAGTACCATAAGTGGCAACCGTGCCTGTAGTATTAAAATATTGTACTAATTCTTAAATTAGATGCATTACTGTACCATTATAATGTTAACAACATGATGAATCGAATCGAAATTTTAAGTTATACCCCCTTTAAACTAAAGTTTTTACTCAGTGGTCGTTGCCGTTTATTACAATTATAAAGAAATGAAGTTCATGAGAATTATATTGTCTAAAATGTGAGTATTTTAATTTATAAATTGAACTTAGGTGTTGAACCTATTGAGTATTATAGTTCGCATTTGCTTTAAAATTAATTTTCGTTTTATTTGGTAAACTGTACTGGCAATGGCAATTAAATATTTTTAATATAAAAGTTAAAGTACTATGTAGTTTGGAAGTGGTACGACTACTTCGAAATATGTTATTTGATTTATTTTCAAAATTTATATCTCAACAATCGTTGAGGGAACTTTTAAATACAAAATGTATTATAATATAAAAAATATATGAACGTTAAATACATGCGGCGGAAGATTTCTTAGTTCCATCTATCAAATGAAATTATTTTATTCATTATAGGCGTTTTCGTACGTTTTTATTATAAAACCGTTTTAAAATTTTTAGTGAAACTTATTATAAGACTTATTTTTTCAACTGAACGTGAGGTGATTAACTTTAAAAGATTTTTACAACTTCTACATCGGCATTCTGAACAGAACCGCAAAATTGTACAAATAGGTTTGATCATCTTATATAAAACTGTTTTGAACTGATAGGAAAGAAATGAATTTTTACCAAAGATATTTTAAATTTTATTTCAAGCTAATTTTTTTTAGTAATTCTTATTATTTTAGCATTCAAATATCATTCCCATGGGTTTTATTATCTTTGAATACAATATTTGTTTGTCAGGAGTTCTGACGAGGAGATAAAAATTAGAAATATGAAGTACGTGTGTATCGAATAGCATTTTGAAGTGTTTCATAAAGAATGAGGTTCTACACCGAATAATAAAATAAATGTTTCTGTAGATAGATAAGTTAAGCATAGGTATCACAGACATGGAGAAACTAATTCTACTAAAACATAGGAATTAGAGATTGATGATAGATAAAGAACAAATAGAGATAAACTTAGAGATAAAAAATAAAGACCAGAGGGATACAGAGAAAGGCTCTGGTAAATCATAGCTGTTAACAATCGGTGACAGAGAGATATGGAAACAGACTCTATTAAAGGATAAAAATTAAGTTTTGCTAACAGTGAGATGCAGAATGAGGCTCTAATATATATACACATAGGATTTGTTATAAACATTATACAAAAAAGGACAAATTTTCTGTTTAAAATAAACTTTTTACAAGACCAATAAAAAATAAGCTACATAGTTAAAAAGTTTAAAATAATTTAAATAGATGAGAAAATACATAATTTTAATTTCAATTAAAGATAAAAAAACAAACTAAATATACTTCACAGATTCAAGATACAAACAAATTGAAGGTACCTCAAATGAAATAATTTTTGTATTTATAAAATCTGGTCGCACTCGTCGTATGGGTTATGTGCATTTGAGCCCATTGTTAGTAGCAGTATTACCAACTTGAGTGTGTGTGTGTGTGAGTGTAAGCTTTGCAATAGTTGAAACGGTTGTCGGAAGGATGGCGTATGCCACTGGCATATGGCATCATGTGTTCGGTTAGTAGCACTCAGCTGACAAAATACAACTCGGCTTTGGTATTGGTAAGTAGTGTGGTATAATGTGCCTGTTGTGCGCTGCACAGTGTTGCGACGCAAATATTTATGCTCGCTTTTGTATTTATTTGCATTAACTATTTTGTTATTTACACGCACAACAATACAATACAGCACACTCTCTCGTACAAGCACACATACTTTAGCTTTACATTTTCATAATAAAATTCAGTATTGTTATTGTTGTTGGATTTGTTTTTGTTATGTTGTTGTTACGTTTGTTGGAATAATTGAATTTATATAAAATTTTTGAAGTGTTAAAGCGGAAGTTGCAAATGAAGCCATTATGCCATTTCAATTTTTCATGTTTTTATTTTTTTACACTTATAATTTGTACTATTTAGTATGCAATTATGTTTGCGACATATTTCAAATTATAATTTTTAAGTTAATAAGTTAATTTTGCATTTAATATTTATAGAGTTTTAATTAAAAGTTTTTGTAATGCGTAAATTAAATGCAAATTATTTTGGAAAATATTTTAGTTATTGTTTGCAGGAATTAAATGAAATGTGAAACTAAATGAAATTGAAGTAAGATAGAATCTTTCATAA